TTTTTAGTAGAGACGGGGTTTCACCATGTTGACCAGGATGGTCTCGATCTCTTGACCTCGTGATCCACCCGCCTCGGTCTCCCAAAGTGCTGGGATTATAGGCGTGAGCCACCGCGCCCGGCCTCTCTTTGATATTTCTTGTAATGTAGGTCTGCTAGAAACAAATGATCTCACTTTATCTGGAAAAGTTTATTTCACCTTCAATTTTAAAGTTAGCTTTGCTGAATATATGATTTTTGTTTAATGAATTATCTCATTGGGTACATTTAATATGTTAATCCCACTGCCTTCTGGCCTCCATTGTTTCTGGTAAGAAGTCAGCTTTTAATCTTCCTTTGTAAATTTGTAAGTGATGAGTCATTTTTCTCTTGATGCTTTCGAGATTTTCTCTTTTTCTTCTAGCATTTTTATTAAGTGGGCTTGTGGATCTCTGCATTTATCTTACTTGCAGTTAATTGAGATTTCTGTATCTGCTGATTAATGTTTTTCAATAAATTGGGAAGTTTTAGCCATTATTCCTTAATTTTTTAAATTCTTTTTATTGTATTTTAGGCTCTGGGGTACATGTGCAGATCATGCAGGATTGTTGCATAGGTACATACATGGAAATGTGGTTTGCTGCCTCCATCCCCCTGTCACCTATATCTGGCATTTCTCCCCTATTCTTTTATTTTTCTTTCTGCTTCCTTCTCATTCTTTCCTTCTAATATTCCCCTTACACATATATTGGTGTATATAATGTTGTCTCACATTTTTCTGAGGCCGTCTTTCATTTTAACCGGTTGTCAAGTTTGTTAATTCTTTTTTCTCCCAGTTCAAATGGACGCTTGTTCCCTCTAGTGAGTTTTTCATTTAAAATGTTATTCTTTTGAACCCCAGAATCTATTTTGCTTTTAAAAATACTTTCTCTCTTTTTATTTATATTCTGTTTGATTTGATATTGACATCATACAGCCGGGCACGGTGGCTCACGCCTGTAATCCTAGCACTTTGGGAGGGCGAGGTGGGTAGATCGCCTGAGGTCAGGAGTTCAAGACCAGCCTGGCCATCATGGTGAAACCCCATCTTTAAAAAAAAAAAAAGGAAAAAGAAAAAACAAAGAAGATATTGACATCACACCTTCTCTCATTTCTTTAATAATAGTTTCTTTTAGTTCTTCAAGTATATTTATCATGGTTACTTTGAAGACTTTGTCTACTAAATTTGACATCTGGTAATTTTCACAGGCAGTTTCTGTTGCCTACTCTTTTGGTACTGTACATTTATACTTTCCTATTTATTCGCATGCCTCATAATTTTTGTTATAAACTAGATATTTTGGATAATATATTGTACCAACCTTAGGTACTTGCTCTTCCCACTCCATGTTTTTTTTGTGTGTATGTGTGCTTGTTTATTTCATTGTGTGAAACTCCTGGCTGGGCGATGGTGGCTTACGCCTATAATCTAAGCACTCTGGAGGCCAAGGTGGGTGGATCACCTGAGGTCGGGAGCTCAAGACCAGCCTGACCAACATGGTGAAACCCCGCCTTAAAAAAAAAGGAAACTCCTGATGTTGTTCCTCAGGGGGTACAGCCTTGAGTAGGCACAGAATCACCCTGGGATAACACTGATTTTGGCCGGACTCTCTTTAACTGCCTCTTTCCCTGAGCACATCCAGCTCTTATATCCTGCTAATTACCTGCTGATTTCTCTTTTGTTTTCAACAACACCCTATGGCATAAATTGCTTCACAGACAGATCCAATCAAATTTGGGAACTTAGTAAGAATACTTTCTTAGGTTAGTGCTTAAGACTTGCTCTGACTCCTGGTGGGCTCTTTTTTTGCAGCCTTTTCCCTCTGTTTTCTCTCCAGCAAATGAGCTGGCCTACTGTTTAGCCTATAATTTAAATAAATTTATCAATTTTTTACCAATTTTCTTTTACCATAACCTTCTTTGTTCTTGAGAGCTCTCTTAGGTTTGAATTTTCCCACACTCAGTTGCAAATAAAGTCAGTTATTTTAGGGAGAAATTCAGAGCTCTTTCTTCTAAGGCTTACCTTTCCCTTAGGGCAGAATCTCTGAGCCACAATTCTGGTGCTGGAGACTGGAACAATGGAGCAATTCTCTCTGCTATCTCTGCTTGAGAACATGAGTGCTTGATGGAAGAAGGGGAAAATAGCCTTAGGTCTCTTTAGCTTGCTTCTCTTAGAATGCATTTACTGCTCCTCAATCCAGGGCCAGGGGATAGATGTCCCAATATACACCATGCCCAAGATCTACCTTTGTTTTATGGTTAGGGGCTGGGTGGAAAAAAGGGTCACCACCTCTTGGACACACTAAACCAGAACTTAGCCTCAGCAACAGGTAATTGGAGGAATCATGAGAAATGGTGATGTGCTGCTCCTCTTAGGAAGATAGCCCTCTAACTGAAATCTAGGAGGAAGAAGTAGTCTTGTATTTTTGGATATTTCAGTCTAGTGTAGAGCTCCCCACTTCACTGGGCTGGGAGGCAGGGTTGGAAGAGCGTGTTTTGGTTCATTTACTACAAACTTTCACTGTTCTTTGAATTTTAGTAGCTTTTCTTGAATAAATGATATTTCATTTGTTTTATGTCATTAGAAACATTTCTAGGGACATTAGATGGTTGTTTGTATTTTACAATTTTCACTAGTTTCATAGTGAGCTGGTTCACAAAGTTGTTCAAGCTATCATGATGGAAGTGGCATGTATTCATTTGTATGTAATATTATTATTGATGTAGGTGGAATTATATCTATTTTAATTTGGTTTTGATATCTCATGTCTTTTTTGTTCTATTCCTCTTTTCCTGCGTTCTTTTGTACTAAGTAAATATTTCCTACTAAAATTTTTGATGTTTTTTTCACTATTTTTTTTAAATTTTCATAGTGGTTGCTCTATGGTTTACCATATACTTCTTAGCTTATCAGAGTATACTTCATTTTTAAAAAAAATTAATTTCTAGCCGGGCGCCGTGGCTCAAGCCTGTAATTCCAGCACTTTGGGAGGCTGAGGCGGGTGGATCACGAGGTCAAGAGATCGAGACCATCCTGGTCAACATGGTGAAACCCCGTCTCTACTAAAAA